GATCGCAGTGTATAATTCTTGTGTTATTCTTTAACCACCATACATTTAAAAAAAAAATAATATATATATATATATATATGATCTTTCAAAACACCAGTCAAATCATGGGAGACATCCACACCAAGTTCTTAGGGAACATAAAACTTAGCAACTCAAAAATTAGGAGAAAGCTTTAAAAACAGCAACTCCTATGGGTGAAAAAGTTACACTTGAACCACAATAGGTCATAGCAAACCATGATGGAATCAAGTTCAAAGCACTTTTTTAAGATCCAAAAATAAAATTTTAATGCTGAAGTGGCAATAAATGAAGACAAAAATCGTTTCTGACAATTAGAAATTTCTTATACGTCTGAACAAAAACATACTGTAAATCTCATAAAAATGGAAAATTAACTGGAACCTACGGAGCCAAGTGATAAAGATTGAATTAATATTATCAGTAGAATTTGGTAATAACAGGATATTCTGAGTAGATGATATGGAGGGCCATCATAGTTCACCAACTGACAAATCTATATAATTAAAAGAGAAACATGTGTGCACGTGCATGCACGAAAAGCTTTTTAAACTATACAAAAATGAAATTAGGAATAGGGAAGTACAGATAACCTCACCATCTGCACAAGAGAGAGCTGGGTGTAGACAGTACTCTGCATTCCAAGGGAAAGGTATCTGTCATCACTCAGAGCCCCATCTCAGACAGCACTGTTTACATGTTAAGGTCTTATTTGAGAATTTCTTTATTTGTTTAAAGGTACCAATACCATCATAATGTTGAAGGGAAAGGTATCTGTCATCACTCAGAGCCCCATCTCAGACAGCACTGCTTACATGTTAAGGTCTTATTTGAGAATTTCTTTATTTGTTTAAAGGTACCAATACCATCATAATGTTGAGTTTTAATACTTGCCCCAGATACCCAGGTTTTTAAAGAGTCGCTAGATCCAATGTTTCTTACTATATAAGTCGACATCACTTTTCATCACACCATTCAGGTCCAAGTGTCTTTTATACTAGAGGTGTTTGGTGGATATCATATGTTGTGGAATAAGTTTAACCTCGCAGTCATTGAGATGCCTTATGCGGCCATAAGATTTCTTCAGAAGTCCATATACTTAATCTCTTATGTGAGTAGGCTAGGTAGATCACTTAACTGTTTTAATTACTTTAAATAAAAAACAGTAGCTTTACATTTTATAAACAAAATATTAACACCAAAAATTGGAGTGAAATTTGAGCAATGCAAGTATTCAAACTTAACCCTACTTCCCAGAGTGACTTCAGTTACTAGCCATGGAAGTAAGACATGCCAACAGAATAAAGAAAGAAGTAACATTACATTTCAAAACAAATTGTTCTACTTTATTAAGTGAACAAATCAATAGAATGAATGATTTTAACTCGTAGAAAAATGAATCAAGTAGTATTAAATGAATGAAGATACATTTCACAGTTTTAAATAATTCTGTACTAGTCTGTATGCAGCAGTATACCAATACATAACGTGCAGAACCATACTTAAGTACCAAGAAGTAGTATAATATTACTAGATTACTCAACTTTAGTGATAGTGATTTGCCCTCTTACAAAGTTGCTGTTATCAATTAAGACTGCTATAAATCGAGATTAAAAAATATCATTTATCAATTTCTTTGTCTTGGTAAGGACGATAATACTTTGACTTGTAGATACTTTTTGTGAGGTCAATTGTGATTACTAGCATCAAATAACCATTCTTCTCAAAGGCTTCTCATAATTCACAGAGACCCAATTGTATCAATCAAGATCATACATTATCCCAACTCACTTCTCTAGCTACCCAAAGTGGATGCTATATCAAATTCAAGTTTAGCGACCCTGAAAACCTGCTCCTCCATTTTCCCTGAGTGACCTTCTAGGTGCATTTTAGTTCCTCTTGGCAACCCAAATAAATAAGGGTAAGGGGCTATGCCTTATAGATTACAACCTCCCCACCCCACCAGAATCCACCTGCAAAGTTCACTCCTGCTAGCTCCATAACTGTGGGAGGAATTTGTAGACAAACATATTTACAAACACACAGTTTAATTTATACAGGATAAGCATCTGAAGTGATTACCTCATGATAAAATAGTAAAATCTTTATTTCATACATCCAAGGTCTACAGTTCAAACTTACGGGCTTCGACAGAAATTAAAAGAAAGAAGCTCTCTACATCCGAAGTACTTTAAAAGTGTATACTAAATAGAAACCTACTATATATATACCTAGAACTTTAATTACTGATAATATACTACTGTGCTTCTTACTCTACAGTCTACAGTAATGGTTTATTTTCAAAACTGCTAACAATTATCACAAGTTTCTTTAGTCAATATTATTTACATATTTACAGTAGGCATCCAAACTCTAAATGAAAAACTTAAAAATTAATTATTCATGACCCTGACTAGATGAAAATGCCATTAGCAGAGAAAATGAAAAAAAATTAATCAACAGAATTAGATAGTTAGTATGAAAGCAGTGCAGCCAATCAAAGCTAAAGTGCTCATCTATCATCCTGCTATTAAAACTGTTAGAGCGATATAAACTGCCATGTATACCTGATAATGATTCAAATTTTCAACTTCTTCGAGGAGACTGTTGACTTGCATTTGAAGATGTTCATTCTCTTTCTTCAGAACTAGCATTTTACTGTCTTTCTCCTCTACCTGTCTGTTCAGAGATAAAATTTGGTCATAAAGCGAGTCACTGATTTTCTGGAATTCTTCTTCCTTTTCAGCTACTACTTTGTCCTTATTTTCCAGATCCTTTGTTTGGTTTTCTATTATTTGTTGCAGCTCTTGAGCCTCAAGAAAGAAATTTTATCAAATATATATATATATATATACTGCTTGTTTAACAAAGATTACCGAATAAAATTATTCAGAGCAAACATTCTTGAGAAGAACCATATATTTATATAATCCTTTAGTAAATTTCACAATCAAAGCACTAATGTAAATATTATTAAGAAGATATATAATTCAAAACATTTCATTTGTTTTGGCTTCAATCTTTTAAATTTAGTTTCTTAACTTTTATTTTTAGCAGATGCTTTTGCTCATATTAACGGTATAAAACAAACCATTATTATATATTTTGAAGTCATATTTTATAATAAAGAAAAATTAGCATATTAATAGTTTTTAAGTTCTTTATGTGTATCTTCAATTAAAAAATAATAATTTGTTGTTGTTGTTCTATGTGGTCATATTAGAATATTTACAAAATAAAAATTATACTTAACAAACTTAGAGAAATATTTAAATACATGTTGGGTTACGTCAGTGGTAAAACTAGCAAGAAGTACAGAAATGTTCTGTTTAAAATTAGGATTGCTTTAAGAAATCCATCTTTATACAGAAATGATCCACAAAACAACAGACCACTTAAGCTAAGTTTTTTTTTTTTAAATCCTGAATCTAAATATTTATAGCACCACTTATACATCTTCCAGTAATGATGCTGGCTCTGTGTTAGATCTGTAAGGTGAAGGTTACTTCTGTTTAACATAATAACAACCCAACAGATTGACTGCATCTAATGTACATTAAGCTTCTGTGTCTGATAGGCCTAAATACTTTGTATATACATGTATTAAGATGTGTGTATATTCCATACATAGTAGAAGTCAGACCCATGCTAAAGTAAACACATCCAAATTCATGGGTCTTCATTCTTTTAAACAAAACAACAGTTACAGTGTCCCAGAAATTCCTTTCACTGTGTACATTCCATAAACAGTAGAAGTCAGATTTATGACCAAAAAGATCTAGAAACACATCCAAATTCATGGGTCTTCATTCCTTTAAACAAAACAACAGTTACAGTGTCCCAGAAATTCTTTTCACTGTGTACATTCTACACACAGTAGAAGTCAGAATTATGATCCACAAATAAACACTCAGTGATTCTGGTTTGTTATGATAGTTTAATACAAAAATTAATTCTTTAAATGAAACCTGTCTGCTTTGAATTTCTTTCTAATTATATCAATGACTTGATGCAATTAATGCTCATATATTTCATTTTTTACTCAGTTTTAAGATTATTTCATGTATATATATATTTTAATATAACATAAGAAACAAAAAACTTTACTTGTCTATAAAATTCTTTAATAATGAATTTTATAAAAATAATTAATATTGTTTCAACAGTATAATTGCATAAACAAAAGCAATACTCAAGCACCTGTAGACATGTCAAATAGTCAGTTTTTATTGCAACATACCATTAGAGGTTTGTGCATATTTGAGAGTAACTTGGTAATATTTTACATTTCTAGTTTACAGATTATTTTTAATTTAAAGTTTTTAATTCTATTATGACGTCCATTTCCACATTCCGAAGAGTATTCTACAATTTAAATTCTGTGATTCTCAATGGCCAACAGTTAAGTCCTCTGATATAGTTGACCCGAAACTTGAAAACAACTTTCCATATTAATATTCTACATACTTTCCAACAAGAACAAATTCTTCTCAATTGCCTATAGATGTCTGTAAACCTAAAATGTTCAACCCAATTATAATGTACTGTTCTTAACACTGATCAAACTTGAAAAATTAAAAAAAGACCAAATTTTATTTCATTCCCTATAGATAAGTTGTTAGTTAGTTATCAATGAATAACGAATAAGTAAACTACTAAATCCATGAAACAGATATGAAAGTGCACTCTCTAAGAATTTGTTTCAGTATACCCTATTCACATTTATCACGTATTTACTCAAGTTTTTTGCAAGTTACACAAACTATAGATCTACCTACACAAATACATTTATCTTCAAAACCCAATCTACTGAACAGAGTTTGCACAGAGTCACGATGATGAAGTTCAAGGACTTTTCAAGACTCATCACGATAGCTTGATTATATAAAACTAAACGACTCATCACGATAGCTTGATTATATAAAACTAAACGACTCATCAAGATAGCTTGATTATACAAAACTAAACGACTCATCAAGATAGCTTGATTATATAAAACTAAACGACTCATCACGATAGCTTGATTATATAAAACTAAACGACTCATCACGATAGCTTGATTATATAAAACTAAATGACTCATCACGATAGAATAGTTGGATTTAAAATCATGTAATTTTGTTGAAATTCAAGGTTTTTTTTAAGGAAATATTTCTATTTATGGACTTTTCAAGGCAATCATAAAAACTATAGACTTTTCAAGCTCTGTGTAAATCCTGTAAAACCAAAAGAAAAATACCTCTTCCTTCGTCTTGAATAACTCATCACTGACAGACATGCTACCAGTTACAGTCTGGGAGTCCAAATTAATTCTATTCTGATTAACAGAAATGAAGCTCCTGATGGGCATCTGTAAAACGTAAAAACACATGCAAGTCAACCATTTATCAGAAAATCCAATGATAAAAACCTTATAACCTGAGTGCTTTCAAAAGGTGGACCTTTCTTCTTCGGGGGCAAACCAAAGAAGAAGAAAAGTCCACCTTTCAAAAGCACTCAGGTTATAGGGTTTCTATAATTTTATATTAAGACTTCTTGAACCAACGTGTTTCTATAACATCATGAATAACAGAAAAGAACAAAAAAGTGTTTGATAGAAATTTATAACATTACAAAATGAGCTTTATTTACAGTAGGCAACTACACTAAAATTAAACTCAGCTCATATCACACAGATATGTGTAAGTAGTGTTACCAAAATCAATGGGATACCACACACACTACTTGTCAGTGCCAAATTTGCATGAATCATCATCTGCTGAACTTTGATTACAAAGAATGACGACTGCCACAGAAAGACCAAAACAGTCATGATTCCTTGAAGAAAGAAGCTTATGAATCCCTCAGAGTAGAATGGTTAGAACAATTATTGGATGAACACTGTTGATATGAGTTCCTAAAACATTTTAGCCTACCTACATTATCAAATTCAGTGTATGTACTGTTGTGAAGATGTGGAAACCCAAGAAATGTACAACAATGGCCTGATAGCCCATAATTAGTCATTCTTCAATCCATGCAAACTTTGAAACTTGTTGCAAGATAAAACTGCATATTTGGAATTAATTCATGACTTAGGACTTTAATGACCCGCAAGTCAGCAGAGCCACTGTATACAGTATGTTGATGGAATACAGCACACTATCTTTCTTGGTGGTTCCTTAAGCATCAAACTGTGATGAAAAATAATAGATTTACTGATTTACAAAATGTTAGATTGTACTGGTCATTACATGTTTTGGATGGACAAGACTAGGTCTGACAGCAACCCACAAAACACTGTAGCTATGAATACCATTTTTACCATGAACTAAAGAACATCACGGCATGGGCCTGTTTTAGTTAATTTTGGACTTCATTCATAGGTAAAAGTATAGGAAGCCATGACTACTGTGTTGTTTTATGACAGTCTGGGTAATACTGCACTGCTTACATTGATGGAATTGTTTAGGAAAAGATTATACTTCTTTCAGCTTGATAACAATCCGTGTCACGGTGCAAGGTGTGTATAGCAGTAGTAAATGAGAAATAACATCAAGAGTCTCTCCTGGTTAGTTCATAGCTAACTAACCCTCTTGAACGTAAGAAATATCCACACACACTGACAAGAGATGTTTAACACCACAGATGGAGCTACTCCCACGACCTGTAGCAACAACTCCCTTCTCAGTGTACTGTTTCAGTACTTTATGATATATAACATATAAATTTACAGTATGACCTTTAAAGAACACATACCAAGCCTTCACTCTTCACTGTCATCTTAGTGTTTTTAAGGTCTTTTTTTAGCAGCTCTATTTGTTGGTTCAACTGATCAATTTCTTCATTCTTGTCTTCCAAGAGCATTTGAATATAATGAGGCAAAGGTGCATTTTCTGCTTTGATTTTCAATCTTTCCAGTTCAGTCTGGAAAAGAAAGTATCATGATTATTCATTCTTTGAACTTTACAAAAGGTAATAACATTCATTAAAAAATGTAACAAATTTAGCTTGGAATTTGAGCATTTTTAGCAAAAACCATCTGTTAACTTGTCTCTTACATGTTTATATGATTTAAAAGAACTAATTTATTGAGGTTTTACAAAATGTAAATGGAATGAAAAGTTAGTTTAACTACAATTAAAACAATATTTTTATTTTCTGATTAACACTTGGTACTCACTGTAAGGTTGTGGTGATAGGATATCAACCATTACCGTGGTTAGCAGCCTACTCAATCACCTAAGCTTGTTACTAATCAGTTAGCAAATTTATTATTATAACTATTAGATATTAATTACCAACATTTTGTCTGCTAAACTACTGCTATGTTCACAGGTATCCAGAAAACGACTGTATTTGGTGACAGGAGTAAGAATTCATCCTGGAATTTCTTATTAGAAAGGCAGGTGTGTTATGCACTCATTCAGGTTTTCATCTGTAAGCAACTGAACTATTTGGATGTTTCCAAAAGAAGCATCAAAGTTCTGCTGACTTCTTTGCTAGGTTGACTGTGTATGTGGATTATCAGTTTGTTAGATGCAGAAGACTTATTTTTATCTTCCTCATATTTGCACATGTCATATTCTGTTGTTTTAGTTACTTTATTTTATTATGTGATCTTTAACAAGATGAGCTACTGCAAGTACTTTAATATTACTTGACTATTACACTTCTATTGTGCCCCTCAACTCTGACTTTCGTTCACAGTTTCTCAGGGTATTAAAGCCTAGATTCATAGGAGATGTCGTAAATGGTA